TTGGAAATTTGCACCTTTACATAATCTCTCTTGGTTCTTATTTTTCCCCCTTCCCCTGCCCTCCCTTCAGCTCCTCCATCCCTCCCTATTTACAAAGAGGCAGAATTCTCTGGATTTTTTTTTTTTTTTGCGGTACCAGGGATCAAACTCAGGACTTTCCACTTGCCAGGCAGGCGCGGTGCCACTGAGCCAAATCCCTGGCCCTGGATTTTTTGTTTGATTTGTTTTGTGTTTTTTTGAGACAGGGTTTCACTATGTAGTTCAGGCTACCCTTGAACTCACTATGTAGCCCAGGCTGGCCTCAAATTCAAGGTAATTCTCTTGCCTCAACCTTCTAAGGGCTGGGACTACAGGGTAACACTGTCACTCCTGGCTAGGCAGAATTCTCCTAGGAGGGCAGGCTTAGCCAAGCCAACAAAGACAATATTCTCTTTACAGATGAGAAGATGGGAGGCCAGGAACACTACCAATACATTTTAAAATTCATCACACGAAGATAACACTAAGGTTTTGAGCCTTGTTGACAGCACAGTTGAAGATGCACCAATGAACAAAATGAAAAGCCAAGATACGGAAAGCTTTAGGAATCAGATACTAAGTCTGGGACCAAATATGAGTTGGTCCCAGGTATATATGGACAAAAGAAAAATGGATATATGAGTCATTGGTCCAAAGAAGTAATAGCTAATAAAGGAGGAATTGATGGCAAGAGAAATATAGAATGTGAGGGTTACAAGCAGTACTGTACTGTAAAATATCTACATTTTAGGCTTGGAATTAACAAGAGAATTCATAAAAGAAGAGAGAAATTCTCATGCCCCAGCCTCATCCAGGCCAGTTCCATCAATAACTGAGGATGAGATTTATGCACTAACATTGTCTAGAGCTCCCTCAAGTGATTCTGTGTACAGCCAAGGTTGAGAACCATTGTTCTAGAGACTTATGTGGTGCTTAATGGTTTTCTGGGTTGTATGACAAAGGAGTTGTCAGAGAAAAAAATCCTAGTTTACACATTTAAAGACCAGAAACTCCAATATACTCATCCCCCCTCCCCCATCTTTTTGCTGAGGAATCCCAGGTTTAAAGAGATTAATTTTGGACCATAAACAAGACATTTAATGAATTTCCAACTTCTATTTAACCCTTTATTACTGTCAACCCTTTTTGTCTTAGTCCATTTTTTGTTGCTCATAACACAAAAGAGGTTTATTTTGGCTCATGGTTCTGGTCCAAGATTGAGGGGCCATGTCTGGTAATGGTCTTACTGGCAGAGTCCTCAGGCCAGGCAATAGGGCAGGGAGCATGTTGTGAGTATATCCTCTGGTGTCTCTCTGTTCTTAGCCATAAATATTTAATCATGAGGTTCAACTGATGACTTTATTTAATCCTAATTACCTCCTGAAGACCTGACTTCTAAATACCACAGTCAGATTAAGTTTTTACCCATTAATACTTCTCATGGATTAAACTCCAACATGAGTTTTGGAGGGGAGAAACCATAGCACCTCTCTCTCCTCTGACTCCATTCCTCTGTGTTCCAGTAAGTCCTCTATTCTCCTTGCCCTTTGACTTCCTGCCTCATATCCTGAGGCAGTGCAGTCTTTCCAGAGGAACTTGGTTCAGGTTTTGGACCCCACATGGGTCAGTTAAAGGCCCAAATGAGGTCCTGCGGTAGCAGCAGCAGCAGACCATACTGCCAACGGAAAACCATTTAAGGGGTTCTCTCCTAACTTTGTGAGCTTGAGAGAAAGGGTAACCTCTAGAATAAGAAGAGGGGCATTCTGTAGTTCAAGGTGCTGGAGTTGACCATATTCTGACTATGCTTCTAGCACAGCTCCTTCCTCAATACTCCAGCAGCGCCCTCCATGATGTTTACAAAGTGGCGTCGAGGTCTGGGCTGTGGTGGTGAGTCCTGCCAGAGACGACCGGGGACACAGCATTTGTGGGAATTCTGTGACTCAAGAGGCGAAAGGTCAGTTTCTTTTCATTGACAGTGTTCTTGCTGTCCAAGGGTTTATCTCTGAGAATCTTGACCGGTTTCCAGAGTTAGGCTTCACCTCCATTGTTATCTGGAAACACAGGAACAGCTCTTTGTCAGTGTGCCAGACCGGGTTAGACCTAGGCCCCCATTCCCCACGCCCGTCCCCCATGAGTGAAATTCTACATTATTTCAAAGAGCTGCAAGAGGACTTAAAAACACAAACCTGCTTATCATGTTCCTCTCATACACATTGCCTGGATAGCCTTCTCTCTTCATATCATTTTTTTGATGCCACAAAATTACCCAAGAATGTGATCTAACAATGGATTGCAGCCTGGAACTTGTGGATATGCCTGAAATCCCTGGCTAACACTTGTCTTTCACACATTCTCATATTCATATACCCTCTGAACCCACACACGACTCCTCCAGTCCACAGTGACACTCAAAGTGAGTTTGAATTACCTGTGCTGCTTCCATCCAGGTGCCATGACCCCATTTGGAGGGTTTTGTGCTTCATGACTCCACCGGAAGGGTCTTTTAACTCCTAGCAGAGCCTGTACCTCCTTTACAGCCATGGCAAAAACACAACTTTAGGTTCCTAAAGAAAAAAATATGACAACAGAAATGGGAACAACTGAAAGAATGAGCACATTCCTTTCTCTTTTGTCCTGATACAGAGCAACCATGATCTTCTGAGCTAACTTGGTGTGCTGAGTTCTAGTGTAGACTCTCCTACTGGGGCCTGACTCGACCCCAAGGCAAAGAGCAGCAGTCTCCCTAGCAGTAATGTCTGCTGGGTTCCGCCAGCTGTCTCGGGGCAGTTCTCCCTAAATGCAAACGATTAGCATTTCCTGTTAAAACATTTCTGATAAATAAATGAATATATCATCTTCCCAACCCTAAGCAGGTCTGCAAGCATCCTAGGAGCTAGTGCAAGCTCAGGACTGACATAGACCACCCAGCACCAACACCCTGGCCCAGGGCCAAGACTGCTTTTGTTTGAATTCCTGTATGAGTAACTGCTCGAACTGACGCCAGCCAAACTCAGTGAAATATTATTTTTAATATTAAATAAATAGATGGTGGGGTGTGTTGACCTTTTTTTTCCCTCAGTAAATTGTAGCATCACAATCCAGAAGCTGGCTCTTGTATCCACATTTCCTCAGATAGCATAATGAAGGTTGACATTCTCTTTGACCTTCCTCATGGAGCACTTATCCCCCAAGAGACAGAGGAGTCCCAGTTGGTGTGTACAGGACCCTATTTGGAGTAAGCTGGGACTTCAAATGACAACAAAGCTTGTGAATGACCACCAACCATTTTTGTTACTTTTTCTATTTCCTTTCAATATACAAAAAGCACATGATTTTTATATAGAAATCAGAAAGCACAGATAAACAAGAAGCTGAAATGAGCTACCCAGTAAAAGAAATTACTGCCAAATTTTGGTGGCTACTCTTTCCATGTTTTTCACATGTTAATATGAATATTTCACACACATGATATTTTGAGGAAAATTGGCTGATTCTATACATATAGATTTTTTTTTTACACAGAATTAACTCAAGGAAACTATTTTATGCCAACAAATATGCTCCTAAATCTCTATTTTTTGGGGCCAGGGATTTAGCTCAGTGGTTCTGGAGCCTTCCTTGCAAGTGCAAGGTCCCGAGTTTGATCCCCGGTACCAAAAAAGAAAAAATCTCTATTTTTTAAGAGCTGCATTATACTCTGTTATAGGAATGTGCTACAGTGTACACCACCAGTCTTCCCTTGTTGGACACTGGTGTTGTTTCCAAATTTTTGCTGTTATAAACAACAGTCCAGTAAAAGAAAATCTTGGTAGCTAAATCTTTGCTTACCTCCATAATTATTTTCTCAAGATAAAGTTGAAAGGCAGAATTTTAAGGCTTGGGTTACATAGTGCCAGATTGCCCTCTGGAATGATTGTACCAATTTATATCACAAGCAGCAGGGAATCAAAATATTCTCCTGCTGTACTTCTGCCATATTGCATAGGATTCTGCCAAAACCATCTTTGATAATTTGTTAGGGGGGGGAAAGAGCACTCAGTCTTAAACATTTAATAGGAGAGGTGAGCCGTGTAGATTTTGTAAATGGCGCACAGCTATAGTACTGAGCAGTGAAAGGTACAGACAGAAAAGAGGACCCTGGCTGGGATGGCCTGAAGAAAGGCTCAGAAAGTGAAAAAACCCTTTAACCTCAGGGTTGGATGGGTAAAAGAAGTGCTCAGAAGCCCCAGTGTGGGCCAAGACAAGAAGATCTACCACAGCGTTTCCCAAAATATAACCTCAGTGGCCTTCATTTTTTGGAGGGAAAAGACACTGAGGCCAAGGAGGCTTTGAGAACACTGGGATAAACCATGTTTGACCAGTTTCTTCATAACAGAATTTCTGAAAATCTGTGGAAGTCCAATGGGTATGCTACATCTCTAAGAGGTTTCTACAGTATTTCCTGAGCTTGTTTAACCATAAATCCAGCCCCTCTCTCCCATGTTTTTTATTTTCTACAGTGCATTTCATGGATCTAGTGCTTGGTGGACACATTTTGGGACACACAGTCAGATACCATAAGGGGGAAATATTTTTCACAGGAAGAACAGAGAATGGAAGGCAGAAAAGAAGAGATAACGGGAGAGAAGAAAATATGAGGAATGTCTTAGTCACCTTCCTCATGGCTGAGATGCACAATTACTGACACCCACAACTTCAATGAGGAGACATTTATTTTGGCTTATGGTTTCAGTCCATGACCAGCTGTCTCTAAGGAAGGAAGGGCATAGTGGAAGGACTGGCAGAGGAAAGCTGTTCACATTCATGGCAGCCAGAAAGCAGGGAATGAAGGGAGGAGCTAGGGAGGAAGATACGCCCTTCCAGATCACACCCTCAGTGACCTGGCTCTTCTGAATAGGTTCCAGCTGTTTTTTTTTTTTTTTAACTTCTGGGGTTTTTTTGCACTTAATTAAATTCTTTTATTGGTACATTGTAGGTATACAACACAATTACATTTCTCATTGGGAGTTGTACCTTTA